GATAATACATCAAGTCTTAACATGATATCAGAGGAAGATCCATTGTAGTTTGATTGTGTTTTAGCATTAATGATTAAAAATAGCTTGTTAAAAGTTTGTTTGACCCATATATACACTCCAATGTTGTCCACCCTAGTTTGGACTGAGAGACCTGTTGAAGTAATTGTCCTATACTTGATTAATATGAAACAATAAAAACATTATATAAAACTTTGAGCTCCTCCTCCGATCCTACTAGGTTTATCTTTTAGAATGGAACCCTGAATCTTAACATAGTGTTGTGGTCAGATCCGGATGTGTTTAATTATTGTTTAACACTCATGATTAAGGGCAGCTCTTTAAGGGTCTATTCAACATATCTTTCTCTATACAAAGCGAAGTGGAATTGCTGCCACTTTTCCCGCCCATTTCGCCGGGTCAAAAACGGGTCAAGTATGTGAAAAACGGATTTTTAAGAATTGGGTCCACATCAGTTGACCAGAATGCTTTTAGTTCAAATTTTCATCATTTTCCTCAATTGAAAACGTGTTGATGGGAACAAATTTAATACTGAGGTGGTCAAACACATTTGATGCGGGTGGTTGAGCAATTAATGAGTTAGTTGGGAGGGCTGAAGATTATTACACATTGGGTAATTCAGTTTCATTGCAAACCCTAAATTTTGAGTTCCCTATATACACTAAGTGAATCTCATTTCAAACACACCATCACACCATGGCAACAAGCAAGGAAAACCCTCGAACAAATAACAGTAATTTGTATTCCATGATAAAGGAAGTTGACCACACTAGGTCAACTTGGGCTCTCAGAGTACGTGTGGTAAGTGCATATGAGGTTCCCTCTCATTCCAAAGGAGGTGCAAGGCTGGAAGTAGTTTTTCACGATGCGGAGGTGATTTATCATTCGTTTATGAATTTTAAATTGATACTCAAGCATTTTAATTCTCAAACATTCAACTTTATAATACTTATATTCATGTATCTTTGCAGGGGAGCCGTATTTATGCAGTCAGAAAAAGGCCGTTCATGCATCTGTATAGAACCAAACTGGTGGAAAACCAATGTTTCAGAATCAAGAACTTTTTAGTTCTTGATAACTATTACAACTACAAAACCACGGAGCACCCTTATCTGTTGGAGTTTTTCAAAAAAAACTAGTATTTGACCTGCAATCAGAAACTTTTCCAAATTTCGTGGACAATTTTCACCAATTTGACGCGATGCCGAGTCTCAGGGTCATCAACGACAAATTGCTAATCAGTAATTTCATATTCTGTAAGTAAGCAGTTTTTCACTAAATTTTCACCATTTAACACTACAGCTTTAACCTTCAGATGTTATTGGAAAGTTCGTAGGCAAGACAACACAGACACCTATCGTTAATGGGAAACCTGAGAGGCTAATTGAACTGACTTTGGAAGATCCAGAGTACTGTCCTAATCTTAAGAAATAACTATGTATGTTATATGAGAGAGTTGTAGTCTTTAATACGCCCATGATGATATTTGATTTTTTATTGTAGGGGAAATCGCATTGGCTGCACATTATGGAATAACTACTGCAAACACTTTACTAATTTTTATGAAGTGCACAAGGATGAACCCATCTACATCATCCTCCAAATGGGAAGACCCAGACATGTAAGAGGTTGTGTGCTTATATATTGTGTGTATTTATTTACATACAATTCTTTATTAGAATCAATTTCTTATGTAAAATATACGGAGTATTAGTTTTGTATGATTCAAACGAATCAAACCGGCGGTGTTTGATGCTTTAGAGGTTTTATCTATTCCTACGTGGCATTGAAGCACTTCTCAATGAATTTATATTTAGAAGATATCATATTAAAACATGTAAAATCGAATCTTATATACGTTCATGGCATTAACATTGTGATCCGATGACATCATTGTAAATCTCCCAAAGAGGATGTCATGGGTTCGAAACGCATCTTAGTAAAAAATGTTACTCCCTCCGTCCTTCTAACTTAGTCCCGTTTTACCGTTTTCGTCCGTCCCATACCATATTTAGTAATATTTGAGTGGTTATAATTCATTCCTACTTTATTTAAACTATCAGTTCAATACCAATCAACCACACAATTCCACTTTTTCTTAAAAACAACACAACACCTCTTTGTCCCAAACTTAGGGGGACATAGGTAGTAGTATTTAACGGAACAAATACTATAAGAAAAAGAGAAAGTACAAAAAAAATTGTTCATTTCAGCGTTGATTTTGTTTAGAATAATTTTTAGGCATGGAAATTTTAGGCTATAACCTAGATATACATAACTTTGTTACTCTTAAGTGACATCAATATGATTAAAACCAATACATAAACAAGTATCATAATGATTGAAACGCTTCATAATATTATTAACGGTAAGATTTCTAGGTGGAATAAAATATGTATCTATGCGGCACATGAGAATTCCTATTTAGTACTATAACTTTATAATATCCAGATAGTGTTCTAACATTGTACCAAAGAAAAACTGTAATGTAAATGTTTTTTTACCATAATGTAAGTGTTGTTAATTTAATAAAGACCATAACTATTATAATTGTTTCTTTTTGTTCGGTATGGCATTAAACCACTTACAATATAATATTGAAAAAAGAGTTCTAATACGCTACTACTCATCAGCTATGTGTTTTATATAATTGCGAAGTGAAAAATGGAACTGTTTTCCTTGCAATTATTCATGAATGAATGTGTATTACATACTGTATATAGAATATATAGTTTTGTTTTATACAACTACCTAATTTGGAATTTTATAAATTCAGGACCTGAAAGATATATGAATTATCAATCTGAGACCCGAAAGATGAAATGTATCGGTATAGCACCATAATGATGGAAACTATCAGTTCCATTGGTTTTCATATATTTTGGTTTATATAATTTTTTATTAATTCCATTGCTATTTTTTTTATAAACTTTTCTTCACAAAAGTTTATAACTTTAATACAACTAATTTTTTTAAATAAATATAATAATAATAAATGAGGTAAGGGTCGGATTGGTACTCGAAGTTGCATAAAAAGTGTCAAATAAGTCCTTATATAGGAGGCTCTGTCTGGCCGTCGTCATTTGGGTCGGTTCCCGGTTGAATTTTTTTACGAAATGTTTTGAACATCTTATTCATTAGGTCTAGTTTACTCATACCAAATTTCAGCTAAGAATTCAACCGGGAAGGCATTCAAATGAATTCTTGAAGATTACTGCGCACTTAAAAGCGCAATTATCTTCAAGAATTCATTGGAATGCCTTCCCGATTGAAGTTTTAGCTGAAATTTGGTATGAGTACACTAGACTTAATGAATAAGATACTAAAAAAATCATCAAAAAATTCCATCGGGAACCGCCTCAAATGGGGACGGCCAGACAGTAAGGACTTATTTGACACTTTTTATGCAACTTCGAGTACCAATCTAACCCTTACCTCAATAATAAATTAATAATCATGACTACTTAATTAGGTCCTAGATTGATAGTTTCCAATCATTCATGTCCTAAATTGATAGTTTTAATCATTCGGGTCCTATATCGAAATATTTCATCTTTCAGGTCCCAGATTGATAATTCGTTTATCTTTCAGGTCTTGGATTGATACTATTCTTTCAATTAAAGTGGAGAATCTTTTTCCCTTTCAAAAAAAGTGGAGAATCTTTTTTGGTGCTTTAATTTATGGGTAAACCATTTAAATATTCAAAACTTTGAAGAAGTGTGTGATATTACTCAAACTTGCACATGTAATATATACCTCAAACTTTATATAACATGTTATGTTAGGCACATGATCACATAGTTTTTCACAACTGTAACTTTATTGTGCTAAGTGTCTAATTTAAGAAACACAAAACATGTATGAGGATGCAATTAAAAATAAATTTTACCAGATGCAATATTATTTATTTTACAAATAAAAACTGTAGAATGTTCTCCTGCCGTCCAAGTTGTCCCTCTACGGCTCGCCGGCTCTGCCAGTCTGCCCTTGGTCTCACTGCCTCGTTATTCATTATTCCGTCTCAATATCATATGAAAGCGGATGTTGTCCTTCTAGTTAGGGTTTTAGTTCTTCCGCCGATTTGATAGATTGAGCGGTTTTTCGATTTAAGGTTTTCTCGAGTTTTTGGTGCGGACAAGAAACAGAAACACTAATAGTGAAAGGATGACATCATCTAGTAAAGGTCATGGACGAAGTTTGGGGTTAAAAGCTGGAACATATATGAATTCAAGGTCATCTGTGATTGGTGGCGAAAGTGGAGCCTTGACAGAGAACGTGATGGATAAGAGACAGAGGGAGGAAGAAGCTACACTATTGCCGGCTCATTCTCCTCCTGAACCGCCGCCGGAGTATCAGAAACAGATAGGAGGTTCCGGCACGTGGTTGAAAGTGGTGCTCTGGAAGAAGCAACACTAGTTTTATTTTATTGTCTTTTTGCTTTTTAATTTCTTTGATCATACTATCTGTTTTTTCTTTTGGTCTATTTTCTGCTGTAAGACTGTGGATTTGGATATGGGTGATGAAAGGGTTGCGTTAACCGTCTTTGGCTCATTTGTGCCTATTAATGGATCAGCGAGTTATATTGCTTCTGTTGAGAGATAAACTCTGAGTCTGGTTCGAGGGACGACAGTTTTCAGGAGTCTTTTTGTCAGTTTGCCTACTATCTGGATGATGTGTTATCAATTTAAGCTTATTTCTTCCACACAAAAAATTGTAGAGTGTTAAATGTACTCTAACAGATCTTTGAATATTTTAAATTATGTAATTATCCCAATAAATTTGTACTTGTAAAAAAATACAATCATGATTCAAAAACAACTTGTTATAATAAAATTCAGAATATAAATGTATATATATTATAAAAAGTTTGGTATAATTAGAAATATTTAAATTATTTTCCCCTAGTGGAGAGTGGACACAACAAACATTACAAAAAAGTCTCTTTTCATTCCATTCCATTCATTTGCTCCACTCCCTTCAAAGTCTCCCCTCCCGCTTCCCAAACCAGACACGGCCCTAAAGAAAATTTTAAGCCCATCCTCTTATTATACTGGGGCCCAATTGATATATATTGGCCTCTGTATCTTCATCCGTAAGCACACAACCGCGGAGATAAGCAGCATCGAGCAAAAATGGAGGCTGGAGACGAAGCCTTAGAGATATTGGACTCCAAAGACTTGCAGCAGCAGAGCAAAGCATTCGATAAGCTCACTGATCATGTCGAAGACCGACAGCTCAACTCTTCGCGTGTCCAATCGGTATCCATATTTATGCTCATACAGAACGCCCCAATATGTATTAGTTTAGGATTTCATGTAATTAGGACCCGTGCTTATGAATCGTATTTCTGAATTTAATTCATTCAGGCTATGGCCTCAATATCTGCCACGAAGGAAGCTGATCTTCAAGCTATGAGAATGAGGTTTGTTGATTACTCATGTGAAGAATTTTATGTTTCCACTGAGTATAATACTTTACCATTTAAATCCAAGAATATAAAAAAAAAAAAAAACTACACAGTATGAAGAAAATGTCTTAATGTTGGTGCCTTGAAATCTTATATCCCCCACCATTGGATTTTGAGCTCCTCTTTAGACATTTTCCCATAATGTACTAACAAATCGAATATTTTAAACACAAAAAAAAACATTTCTTATTATTCCGCCCACCTGAAACAAACACCCCTTAAGATGTTTGATGCTTTTACTTGTTTTGCTTACAAGAGATTATCACCTTTTTTTCTAAGTGTTGAATTGAAATTCAATTTGCAATCTTACACTGTCAAAGGTAGAGACTTAGCCTCCTTTGATATTATTGGAAAATATTGGTGTTGTTTTACTTGTTTAGTTTTTCATTTTGTTAGTTTACCTTTTCTGCTATGTTTGTAAAAACTGGAAAAACCGTCATGAATGCCTACCACTTTACACATATTTTATTTGAGAATATTACCCGAAATAGGACTAAAAAAGTTTGATAATTCCAAAATAGGACTTCCATGTTTTTATTCCCAAAATAGGACTAATTATTGTCATGTTTTAGCAGTACCAGGCTTCAAACATGACAGTATTTTCCAAACTTGGCAGTAATTACTCCTATTTTGAAAATAAAAATATGGCAGTCCTATTTTGGAATTTTCAAATTTTTTTAGTCCTATTTTGGGAACTTTCCCATTTAATTTTAACTCGGAAGACAAGCAATCCATCGGTAGGGTAAAAATAAAAATAAAAAGTATACCACTTTACACGCTTATCTCATAATATTATCTTAGTACAATTAGCACTACTTTGCATGGAGGGAAACCTTATCGCCCTGTGCTGAAGCTGTTTTCTTGTGAGCTCAAGGTCACGTCCTTGAATAGAGTCTAAAAGAAATACTTGTATGTATATGCACGTATGATATAACGTTGAGTATTTTTGGTCTTAACTCTTAACGGTCCGCCTTGTTTTGATTCTTTTGAACCATGTCCGTGCTCATGCTAGAGATTTTGCACCTAGCCCCCCAGATTACTTTCTTGGCATATAGGGGAGTATGATGGTTCACTAATTTGCATGTTTTAGATTTGTATTCTTAGTGATCTTCATGCCAGGTTATTAAACTCTAGGTCCTAGTTAGAGTCGGGAGGAAGTGGAAGATCGTGAGATCCTAGACTCCTAAGTAAAAATAAAAATATTTATAAACTACACCTCTACATAACATCGTAAAGTTAAAATTAGGTCATGATTCAGCCATACAAAAATAAGGTCCAAATGCATAAACGCCCAGCAATTACTATTAAATTAAAAAAACTATTGCAGCACATGAGCAGATATTAATAGGATACTACAATACTAGGATTTTTAGAAAGTGCAATTGTAATGCTGCAATCAATAAGTAGTTACCTGGTTTTATAATAAAATAATAAATTAGAAGACTTCAGAAGAAATATAATAATATAATATTAGAGAAGTCTATTAAATTATTTGTACATACCCTATTAAAAATATACTACGTATAAGATTAAAAAAAATACAAGGTAGAAAACAAACTAAGACAAAACAGTGCTTAGAGTATTGTAGTCTTCTATTGACTAAGAACTTGAAAAATCAGAGAGATGGAGCGAAGAGAATAGAGAGAGAAGAGCAACATCAGTTCATGAAGAATTAGATGCGTAAAGACCGAAAAGATATCAAGCTTGTCACGGCGTCGTGTAGGCGCCGACTAGGCATCTTGTCAGTGGAGAAGGCTCGACATGGGAGATCGACTCGCCTGAAGAAGATAAGTTGCTCCTGGCGTTGTCCAGGCGCAGTCCAGGCGCACGCTGGGGATATTAAAATCTCAATAAATTTGTTTTTTGAAGCCCAGCCCAAAATATGATTTAGAAAGTAGTAATTTAGGAACCGAAGCATTCTGAAAGTATGAAACCCTAAGGACAATCATCGACTCTCAAACTTGAAGGCCAATCGACGAATCCCAAACATGAAGCATCGCTAGTCGCTACTTCTCTGCTGCATACCTCTGTCGCATGGTTGAAGATGCCCTGCAGTTGCTGCATTCCTGCATCGAAAAGGTTGAAGATAACCTGCAGTTCCTGCGTTTCTGCGTTGCAAGGTTGAAGACGACCTGCATGTCTTCTTCAGCTTTTTATTCTAATCGGTTATTCACTAATTCTCTCTCTATCAGACTTCTAATTCCAGTATATTAATCCTCATGTTTTATACTCCTATGCAATTACGCAATAAGCAGTATACCCACTAAAGTAGTTTAATTAATTAAGCATTACACATAGTCAATTGATTTTTGTATACACACACACACACAAACCTTTTTTTCATTTATAAATTGTTGGTATCAATTCTAGGTAATACACAATTTAATTAGTGATATATCATACTTCCTCCGTTCTTTTTTAGTTGCAACGGTCAAAATTTCACACTTGTCAACGCACGTCTTTGACCGTAATTATATCTTAATCTCTATTAGTAAAAACTAATTAAAAATCATATTTTGAAAATTTGTAATGAAATGAATTGAACAATATTTTAAAAAAAAAGTAATTTTCATAAAATAATAACGTAAAATGTAGTCAAAGTAGAACATGTGAATAGTGTAAAATTCAACGTGTTGCGATTAAAAAGAAACGAAGGATAGTATGTAGTATATATTGTATACTCCCTCCGTATTTAAAAGTTTGCTACACTTTCCTATTTGGGATGTATTTAAAAGTTTGCTATACTTTCCCTTTTCGGTAAGTTTTTCTTTTAAAAATACTCAATTACCCTTACTTTTGCTACTTTTTATCTTCTCTTTCCTACCTTTTCACCCTTTTTCCTACTTTTTCTACACTATTCATTACCCCTAATATTTCCCCTTAAATATTGTGCCAATACCTAATATAGTGATCTTTTAAATACGGAGGGAGTAATAAATTACAAATTAATACAGCTAATTAGAATGTTATATATATATATATGATATACGTAGTATAATACATTACACAATGTGCGATTAGTTGCCTAATTGTCACCTAGGCGGGCGCCTTGTCGCCTAGGCGATATGGCGGTCGGTTGGCACCGCGACTTGCCTTACCGCCGTGACAAGTATGAAAGGTATGCAGTTTGAAGGTTTGACCTTACCCATTCAGATCCAGTTCATCTGATTTGCATTTCGTAGATTGAATCTCGGTGCAGTGATCTAACAATCCGGCACTGCCATCGCCGCTGCCAGCATAGTGGTCTAGATCGCTTGCCTTCTCCAACTGTAAGATCATGTGGTCTTACGGTCTAGCACACGAACGTAACAACGATGATACAATGTATAAAATTAGAACATTAGTGACAAATGAATTGTTTATTAGTTTACCCAACTGGTGTTGAGCGGAAAAAATAAATATGCAGTGAAAGCTGTCTAACCCATCCAATGAACAGTATATTTCATGAGAGAGCTATTAAAAATCAGGTTGATCTGCGGTTTACTTAAAAATATACTCCTCCGGTCTCGCAGACTGGTGCCTCTTTTTCCTTCTTTTTTTTCTGTCCTTGAATAAGGCTCATCTTTTCTTCTAAGGAAAAATTATGTGAACTGCACACATCGCAGTCACTTAATTACAATTTCTGAATAAGCATGCCATGTCAAACAAGATTTTTCCTGGGACAGAGAAGTAAATAATTTATATAAAAATGAAGAAGCACTAACTCTAGTCAGATGGTATCTTCTTTTTAGTGGATAAAGTTTATAATGCCCCTGATTTTAGTAAGAAGGATGTGACATGTGCAAGTGATTCCAATCCAGGGAGAAGGAATTAGCTGCTGTTAAGATAGATGCTGCCCATATCGATATCATCGCCAATGAACTCGAGGTTTGTCTGCTTGTATGTGTCTATTCTTTACTCTTTAGGCAATGCCTGTCTATGACGGAATATAAATGCCCGTTTGAATTGTGATGTCATAGGTTGACAAGAAGTTTGCTGAACGGACCTTAAGAGAGCATAAAGGTGATGTTATTGCTGCAATAAGGCACTTGCTCGATACATCAGTTTCCTTCTGAAAACATTTGATGTTCTTCCTTTCTTCTGTACTGTTGTACGTCTTAGTGTGCACAAGCAGTTGATCATTTCTTTTTTTAGGCACTTGTTCAAAAGTATTTCCCTTTGAGGTGCATCTGATGGTCCTAAATTGAGAGTTCGTAGTGGTGAAATGATCAAGTATTCTGATTTTCTACTTAAGATAATATTGCATGCATGAAAAATTTGTTTTCCTCAACCATGGACAAATTTAGGGACGTCTCGGATATGTATTCAAGCAGCTATGTTCCATTATGATATGACCTTGCATGGGTAATACACATAAAATGGACCAATTGGTACCTAAATCCCTTCAGTTTCAATTATGAAGGCGTCAGGCGTGTTTGTTAAGTTTGAGCATGGGAATCCTGAAACGGACATTATCACATGACGTTTTTTAAGAACTTGAATTGGGGTCCTTAAATTTTCGGAAGTCCTTGATTTTGGTTCATTGGAAATTGAAAGAATTGGGGCTGTTCCGAAAATCGAATAAGAATACTATCCTTTTGTACTATTTTTTTATGGGATGGTCCTTTGGTGCTATTAACTTTATAAAGAAATCGTAACCTGTGAATAATAGATGATACATAATCCATAAATAGAACATTGACTCTGAACATCAGCTAGTTTTCCACTCCCCCGCTCAAATTAACTCCATTCTAACCTCTAAATTTGTGTGCCAGACTTCTCATATTCACATTTTTGTTTTGTGATTCAACAAAAAAAAAAGTAGTATAAATTTGATGTATATGCAAGTACTAATGTTATTTGTGTTCTTCCCAAGAAAAATGTGTTATGAAGTAAAAAATAAATTTTATTACGTAGTACTCTAGCAGGATCATTTTATAGCCGTAAAAGAAGTGTATTATGGGGAAAATCTCACATAGTAGTGTACCAGTACAGGATATGCATGGACCGGGCCCAGTCCGGGCCTCGGGTCGGGCCTGACGGGCTTTTTTGGGGAATGGTGAGGCCCGGAACCGGCCCGGTTATCCACTGTGTCCCGGCCGGTTTGGGCCGGGCCTCGGGCCGGTTGTAATTTTTTTTTTTTTTGCTTTTCTAATTAACCCCTCACCCCCCAAACCCCCTCAAAACACCTAGCCCAACCCAGAAAAAAAATTAAAAAAAAAAAAAAAAAAAAAAAAAAACTTGAACCGGGCCGGTTCCTATTTTGGATGACCCGAGCCTGCCCTAATGTAACCCCCGGGTTGGGTCTACCCGGATTGGTCTCTTATCGGGCCACCGGGTTGGGCCGGTTCCAAACAGTGTCGGGCCGGTCGGCCCGGAACCGGTCCATCACTAGTACAGGAGCATTTCGGTTCGAAAAGAAGTCATATATCATTATATCCCTAAATTTTTCCAACTTGTGAATCATTAAGTTGATAGCGTAATTTCGAAGGATTGTGCTAAAATATTTTGTTACTTTTGGTCGTTTGGATTTTTATTTCTAGTACACTTCGCGACGAAGGTATGAAAATTTAGACATTCATGCCTTGAAATTTTGAATCCCTTGATGGTGAAGGGAAGCTCCTTGACTTCTTGGTTAGTCTTTGGTTATATCATCTCAAGCTAAGACATAAAATGAATGTAATATCTGTCATAAATTAATTAATCCTTGTCTGGACTTGTCCATTGATAGAATAAAAGAAATTGGTTGAGGCTTATAATCCATGCGATTCTTATTACTATGAAAAGAAAATTGCACAGTAGTAAAAAAGAAAGGACAATGTACAAATATACCCGTGTAGTATGAATTTGAGAGTAAATATGTTCTTGTTCTTTTTTTCAGAACAAATATACTCCTGAAGTATATGTAGAAGTGCATATATACTCTTGGACTTTTAAAAAATGCAAAACTACCCCTCATATTCTTATAAAAGAGCAAATTTACCCTTATTGACTTTAAATTGATAAAATAAATTTCAAAAAATATAAAAAAAATAATAATTCGAAATTAAAAAATTAAAAATTTTAAAATTGTACATGTGTCCAATTCTCCATTGTACTGTTTGTATATCACAATTTAATATTATTAGTATAAAATAGTATTTCAAAACATTACTATTACTATATATTTAAGATTCTTTCGAAAAAGTGTCAACATATGTGTTACAATGTAAAAAACAATATTTATTTTTTGCATTCTTTGCACTATAAAAATTACATATTTTGTATGATGGTAAATAGTCCAAAATTATATTACAGAATAGTGCATTTAAGTTTATTAAGGTTAAACAAAATCAAAGAATGTTATTTCACAAAATGTAATAATGTGTTTAAATTTCGCAACATGACTAAAATTATAATTAATGAATTTGAAGTGATTCATTGATAACGGAAAAATAATATTTTTTTACTTTGAAATTAAAGAGTTAATATTTTTACATAATAACAAATCTTTATTTTTAAATTTCGAATTTATAGTGTATATTTGTTTTTTTATTTTATCTATTTAAAATCAATAAGGGTAAATTTGCTCGTTTATAAGATCATGAGCGGTATTTTTGAACTTATAAAAAGTTCAGGGGTATATATGCACTTCGACATATACTTCAAGGGTATTTTTATTCTGAAAAATAGAATAAGGATATATCTATTCCCACACGCATACTACAAGGTATATTTGTATCCCTAAAAAAGAAATACCTTTAAAAGTTGAAAACAATACTTGTATAGTACTCCGTATCAAATTTGCAAAAGGGCCACTTTACTTGCCTTCCAAAGTATTACAATTTATAACTATTATTATTTCATCATGGTTATTATTAGAGGAAATTGGAGTTCACATCCTATTTATGAGTTTCAAAGTGTTAGTATTCAATGATTTCAGAAATATGGCGCAAACCAAAATCCAATAACATTATATTGTTATAGTCGTCGTTGTCATCATCTTCATCATCATCATTCAATTTTTTGTTGTTATTATTATTATTATTATTATTATTATTATTATTATTATTATTATTATTATATTATAATTATTATTATTGTATGTAGGGCGTGTTTCACCTTAAGAAAGTACTCCGTATTCATACATGCTTTGTTTTGGCCAAAGCGTAGACTATCCAAAGTCCGAGAGAAAGAATTGGATTCTAGGTGGAAACAAATTATGCACATGTTATCTATGCATCTGCTTTCACAAATTGCAGATGAAAGGATACACTGTACAAAGTTCAGTATAACATCAAAAAACGAAATAAATAAAAAACTAAAGTGCTGAGAAAATTTAATCTACAGTTACAAATAGTCATTCCACCATTCAGTAGAGGTTATTATACTCTGATCAATTTCAGTTTGGGACTTTCACGACATCATGCAAACTGAAGCCAGAGATCATCACAGATAGCTTAGGGAAATATTAGTGCTGACCTAAAAATTTGTCCTTGCGCCTTCTTTGGATGTAGGCAGCTCGATGGTGATGATGAAATAACACTTCTCTGATCTTGTTACATATTGGATTTCTCCATTCATTAGCTTCAGTATTTTCCTGCATATACTCAATCCTAAACCTTCCGAAGTTGCACAATGACTGCTATGGAACATCTCTCGGACCAATTCTGCAGGAAGACCTTTACCTGGACAGGCAAGCCTTTTTCAAGAAGAAAAAAACCAGAGAGGACTAGTTAAATGAAGGAGAAAACAAGTAGCCCACTAGCATCTAATAACCAAATACTAACATTTGCAATACATGCATTTCTCAAATTCAGGAGGTCAGTGACATTAGATACGAGTATATGACTACTTCCTGCAAGGGAATTTAACATGACATACAGATGAGATTGCAATATTGCATTAATCTGTTTGGTTCATGGAATGTGATATTGCTTGTGTCACCATGTCATCAAACCATCAAGATTAAACTTGGAACATCATACTTTCTCAAGTAATCTTATATTGCCAAAGAAAATGAACAAAATCACTATCCTTTTTACTTGAGAATCCCAATGTGGTAATGATGTTACTTCACCGAGCTAATCAAATTAGTGCCTGAACCAAACTAAAATGTTGCACTTACCTAGGTTTTGTCATCTCACAAACCAACACCCCCTAGACTTTGGGAATTACTCGGTACATCTTTTTTAGTATGTACCTCTTATCATTCCTTAATCCCACCCTCATTTTTCAGTGTATAAACTAAGCTTATCATTTTACTTGTCAGTGGTACTTTTCCACTCAATTGCATCAAATAATAGCATTTGCTTGTTAAAACATGACTTTTTAAACAAAGGGAGAAGACAATTCAATCACAAAAACATGAAAGCTAAACTTAAAAAAGAACAGTGATGGATGACGTTAGAACCAAAATGTACCTGAATTCGACATGCACCGTAGTAATTCCACCAGATATCTGCTTCAAACTAGTTTGCACATTGATTTGTATCCACCCTTTTGGAGGTGGTGTATGATGAACCATGTTAAGCAAAACATCAGCCAGAACTTGTTGAATTCTAGATTGATCACCATACACTACCATTGTCTTGATGCTTTCAGGAATTTCGTGAATGAGTTTCAGACCTCTTTCTCTCATCAACAGCATTACTTGGCTCACAACTGCATCTATAACACTCCCAATACAAAACTCTTCTCTCTCTAGCTCCAGTGAACTGTGTTATAAAAGCAGAATACTAAATTTAAGTAAAAAACATAGAAGTCAGATCACATCTGAAAAAGTTTCTTTATTTTAAACAGACTTACTAGCTAGCAAATCAATAACAGAAATTTACCCATCTTCAATGTTTTCGGGAACAACAATATAATCCCTAACAATCTTTAACAGCTGCTTCTCGCAAGCAGCACTAGTCTCCAGGAACTGCTTTTGATATTCGGTCAAATTTGTAGACTTCAGTAAGGAATTTGTGAAGCGTATACCATTGAGCGGGTTTTTAATTTCTTGACAGATATACGCCATCTCTTTTTTCTTAGAGAATGATCTGTCATTACATTCTTCATTATCCCTCTGGAGTATGATATCTTCTTCCTTCTCTTCAGAAGAAGAAGAGATCTGCAACAAACAGAACGCTCCGATAATCCGTCCATCCATACTCACTCTCTTATTTGCTGTCAAGAGAGTTCGGACGTATCTTCCATTTCTGTCATAAAAGGAAAATGGTGACTTTTCTGTGTCTTTCCCACCAATGGCATTATGCAACACAATCATGAACTTCATCATAGCATCCGGACCCTTGAGTCTACATACTCTTCCAAAAAGCTCACCAACCAACATTTTACCCACCATCTCCCCTTTGCTCCAACCCGTAAGCTTTTCCATGGCTGTGTTCCATTCGGAGCAACATGTGTTCTCATCTGAAGCGAAAATGGGAGGGATCAGAGGATTGGGGCTATGCACGATTGCTTTATAATCACTTTGTATGCGTACAAATTTGTCGGTTAGTATTTTCTGCCCGGTCACATCTTGACCAACAAAACAGACACCAACTATTGTGTTTGTGTAGTCCTTGCTACAGCAAGCATTGACCTCAAGAAAAACCGCCTCCATGTTTAGGTCAGTGTGAAATGTTTTCAACTTCATCTCTATGTTCTTGTCTTCATCACCTGTGCAGATTTTCACTTTTAGGAATAGTCCAAGTGTATCTACATCTCTACGAACACTCATAATAAGACTTCACATGCTTCAGTATCACTAAATGTTAGCAAAAGCACAAGCATGATGTGTATTTGGGATACTTATATACTCCCTCCGTCCCGTAATTAAGTTCACAGTTTGACTTCACACAGATTAAGAAAATAAATTTGACTTTACTATGGAGTGCACTGTTTTGCACTGTTTAAACACTGTTTGACACTGTTTAGACATTGTTTGGCACTGTTTGACACTTTGTTGATGTAGATTATTTGCCAAATAAGGAAAGTTTTGAAGTGTGAAGTTAATTTCGGGACTGCCCGAAAAGGAAAGTGAGAAGTTAATTTTGGGACGGAGGGAGTACATTTTAAGGATTCTTTCAAAAAACAAAAAAAAAACATTCTAAAGTTAATGATTTTGCTACATGTGCTAGATAGTTAAATTGTGTAAAAGTGATATTTAATCTGTAACACAAGAAAGACATACAACAACAACATTCAAGCTTTATTCCCAAAAGCTTTTGGGGTCGGCAATGCAAGAAAGACATGCTAGCAAAAATTCTTGGCTGGATTCCAGTCATTTAGCATCGCTGTTATCACGAAGTTTGGTCCTATCCAGGATGTGTTAATCAGTTAATCTAGATATCTATCCGCACTATACTTATGAATTAATAAATAATTAATAAATAATAAATAATAAATAAATAAAACTAAAGATAGTAACCTTTCAATGCCTTAAACAAAAGTTTCTCAGCACTTTCTTGTGATTCCATATGAACAATATCACGAATTAATGACTTCCCCAATGCTTCCTCAACTGTCAACCCAACCAACTCGGCAACCTTTGCATTCCAACCATTTATGAACCCTTCAGCGTCTACAGAGAAAATTGGAGCTGTTGCGGTTTCTATTAATCTAACCATCTCTCTAGCCACATAGCTAAGCTCATCTATTCCTCCTTGCTGTCCATCCACGACCACCGCCTCCTTAGAATTATTGTTTCTGGAGACATTATCCTTAAAAGAATCACCCCGTAGGATAAGCTGCAGAGAGTGAATTGCATCCATTTCTGCATTGTCCCACGGCAAACTACGCCTCTTAACCACATCAAGAAACACCTTGAATGAAGACCGTGGGTGCATTCTTTGTCCATCGTCTTTTTCTTGTGGATAATGCCTAGCACCACCCCATTTGATCTGTTTCAAAGTTCGCGACCGAAACCAGAACAAGAAATCTCTTGATGTTATATAAGCAGCAGCCATCCCACACACCTCATCCCCCAGTGAGGCTGCATTAGGATACCCAGCATCATCTAAGCTATCAGTGCTCAAACCGGTCGAGTCACCATGTGAAGTCAACAACCACTTGCAAATATCCTTTATTTGGTCTTTGGTAGGCGTTATGCCTAAAGGGTAGTAATTCCCATGGTAATATAGTGCAGCGCCATCACATTTGACAAGGTCCCTAATACTTGGACTTTTTGTGACGATTTCCACGGCCGAGCCCCTAAGGAGCATGTCACACAAGAGTGTTTGTGTCTTTAACACACGTTTTTCAGCCAACTGTGATGCCAATTGAAGTTCCATTTTCAGTTGGAGTCCAAATGCCTTCATGAGGAATTCACAGGAGTAACGAAGCGGGAAGGGGATGCATTTAGGGGTAGTGTGGTGGCCCACAACCAATCCCCATAGCCTCATCGAATTGTTCCCTGCCATAGCTTCCTCATCGCTCCCGTTTATGATAATTGCGAGTGTTAAGGACGCCATGGACCCCATATTGGCCATGTACTGGGCGTGGCAGCCAGGTGGGGCTCGGAGGGTTGAACCAACAAGACTCAATGGCTGAGATAGAGATTTGTCTTGGATGATGCGGACCGGAGGGGAATGGCAGTCGACTATCATCCTTACCCGGTTTTGTTTGAACAGAAATCTGGAGGCTTGGGGGATATCGGAGGCTGGGTAGTGGACACCAAGGTAAGGCTCTAAATCTTGTCTCTTGCTCTCAGAGACGACCTCCCCATGATGATCATCATGAAACTTATAAACCATAACACGGTCATACCCTGTCATCTCCCTCACTGACTCAACCACTGTATCACAAAGAAGCTGAACATCCCCGCCAGGAAGAGATTGGAAGCGTGAAATGGCCATCACGGCGAGCTTCTGTGACTGAACCGCCCCGGCTAGAGATAGTACAGGGTCCTCACCACTAGCAGGCTCCAGGTCAATCACAATTCCGACATCAATCTTATGTAAGATAGCGTAAAAATGCTTACCGGATTTCTTGGTCTGCACCCAGATTGGGTTAAGCAACGTGATATCCGGCTCTCTAAACGCGCGCTGGAGAAGAGCAGAGCTGGAAGGTGCGAACAGGGTCCTCACATCTGTCCAAAACTCGAGCTGCTCAAGATTGTGGGGCATTTTACCGAGCAGCTGGCGTGCATTCTCGCTGTAAGCGATGACTCCATACCCCGCCTCATCCTCCACCGCAATCACACATCCAAACGACTGTATATAACCGCCCCTCTGAATATTCGAGAGGTAGGCGACGATCTCCTCATCCGGCAGGACTACATCGTTTGCAGTCTTTACGGATGAATAGTAATCAAATGACTCACCTGACTGCTCAAACGCCGCGTGCAGCCTAGCGTCCACCGGGTACTGAGCTACCGCTTTGTTCATCGAGTCGTCTCGATTGCTGCCGCTGCTCGTCGAGCCTGAAGGTTGGGACGCCATAGCTCCGGAGCTACGAATCTCGATCTGCTTCAAACGCTCCGCCGACATACTCCGCCGCAGTTGTGGAATCGATCAGTAGCTTCCGAAATGGATCATTTGAATGAGGAGAATTCAGAAGAGGTAGTGTGGATTGTATGGCGAGCAGGAAAGGATCGTGGAGATTCGCCTCCTTCAATAAATAAATAATTTCTTTCTCTCTATAGTTTATCTGGTACTATGTTTTCTCTGTGTTTTCTTTTCTTTCTCCCTTTCATCTCTTGCTTCATTTGACGTTTGTATTCTTCCTAAAGACCTACACATGTTAGTTTCTTTTGTTCAGAAAATTAATTAATTTTAAATACACGGAGCATTTTTTGATATTTAAAAATAACTATGGAACTTTCGCTGTCGCCTTCAGTTCAGGAAACCTAATTAAGATTATATACAAATATACAATATGCAAAACTTATTTAGACCACCGTCCAAATCACAAATATTCCCGAAATAGACCTGAAAATGTTTAATAATTGTAGATTATCATCTTTTTATTCCCTAAATAAGAATAATTGATGATAAAATTGAAAAATACTGCAATGCTGAAAGTCTGTAGTGCCAAACATGGCAATAATTAGTCTTAAAGTGAAACGGGCCGAACCCAACTAAGATGATTTCAATGGCATCGAACATAAATAAATCAAACTGGTGTTAAGTAAATGGGGTTTAACTTAGACACTAGTAAAATGCACATACAATATGTGTATACCAAATCAGAGATCAGGTTCAAAAAATTCACTTAAATTACCAACACACTGAATGTAATTGAAAACCGATCAAACCAAATTTACGAACACCGTCAAATAGTCATGTAGTGTCCACATAAATTTGTGATTTATTAAAAAGAATTATAAACTAAAAAGAATAATTGTACATTGTCATCCTTTTATTCCCTAAATAAGAATAATTGGTGACAAATTTGAAAAATATTGCATCGTTGAAAGTCTATAGTGCCAAGCATGGCAAGAATTAGTCAAAGTGAAACGGGCCGAACCCAACTAAAGATGATTTTAATGGTATCAAACATAAATAAATCAAACCGATGTTAAGTAAATCGGGTTTAACTTAGACACTAATAAAATGCACATACAATGTGTATACCAAATCAGAGATAAGGTTGAAAAAATTCACTTAAATTATGAACACACTGAATGTAATCGAAAACCGATCAAACCAAATTTATGAACACCGTCAAATAGTCGTGTAGTGTTCACATAAACTTGTGATTTATTAAAAAGAATTACTCCGTATAAACTAAAAAGAATAACACTTCATCCATGAGTAGTCATGGACCGAACCGGGCCCGGTTCCGGGTCGGGCCTAGGGCTAGGCCCAGCCGGGCCCAAAAAAATTTTTGTGAGAACTGGGACCGGCTCGGTAGTTGACCGGTGCCGGGCCTGGTCGGGTCCAGTTCTATTTTTTTGTTTGCTTGATTATTTTTATTCCCTACCCCCCCACCCATCCCATAAACCCATCTGAAAGACCCATTCCAGTCCATTTAAACCCAGCCCAAAGCCCCAAACCAACAAAAACAAAAAACAAATGAAAGGCCCGAACCGGGCCCGGAACCGGCCGGTCCGGTTCTCATTTACCTAAGCCTGTACCCGACCCGAATACCCACCCCAAACCGGGCTTTGACCCAGAACCGGTAGCCGATTCCCGAACCGGGTCCAAGCCTATCCATGAGTATCTCAATATATGAGTTAACTCCAAGGATGTAAATTGTATGGTCGGAATTATAAACAAAAGTAAGGGGGAAAATGAATATTTGCTCTGGGAGGGGGAAATCAACAGATTAGAGATAATATAGTAGTTTGATCAAATGCTTATCTTAATTATTAATAGATGTTCTTTAGTTTTAGCACAACAATTTTAGTCAACGTGGCAATATATGATCCACCCAACTGTTTTTGTTATCTAGTTAATATATTGAGTTGACAGTGCAAAAAGGATAATAAAATAAGAAAAATAATGGAATAGCTAGCTATAGGATCATTTATAAAGATCTCGACAATAGAATCTTACGATTCATGCTCGTTTGATGTACCATACAATAAAATATCTTTTCATAGAAATCAGTCTATAATTGAATTCCAACACCAATACACTTTGGCTTGGTTCGACATGTCAGGAATGGTACTATGGTTTAATGGTGGGTGTATGATCGTATCCATTTCGTTAGGTTATTCGTGTATTCATACGGCACCATTAATAATTTAAGAAATTACACCTATAAATAGGAGTAAAACTAAATTCTATGTGAAATTTAATTATTACTATTATCTTTTGACGTTATTAGACATAAAATGACAGTGTTTTTCCATATGACAATAATTGTTCTTATTTTTCCATACTTTTCTCTAGCGGTTTGTAAAATGGGCATGATACCATCATACCATGTTGACGTTAGCATTTGTTCCTATTGCGCATTTTCCTCCCACTATAAGTGAGGTGCAAGCGAGTCAAGGCGCTCATGAACTACTCGTGAACCACTTGTTCCCAACCTGACTTGGGTTTAATTTCATGAAACTCGAACTCGAGCCAACTCGTTAAGCAATGGAGTCAACAGTCAAGCTCAATATCAATTCCTTATGACTCCAATCCTGACGCGCTAGCCATAACACACACGTACATATAACATATACTATATTTATTTATTTATTTATTTCATATATTTATTCATAGTAAAACCAGCACTACAAATGATACTTAGAACTTGGAAGGAGCATGAATAAATTGAGGATGCTCCTTTATCTTTTGAGGTTCTGGCGAATTGGTCGCTCAACATCTTTAATAGGATTCTGAACGGATAGTTCAGGCTCAAATTTGAACGTGTATTTTATCGAGCTCAAGTTCAAGCATGTCCAAACGACGTAACTAGAACTTGGCTCGTCTCGTTTGAACACCTAAGCTCGGACCATGTCTAACTGCAGACCACTTATGTTGCTGCAGGGAGTGAATTGAAGGATTTCCCCTCTCCTTCTCAAATATTCACTTTCACCACCCCAGACATGGAACCAGGGGCGGAGCCAGGGCACTGGACTGGACTAGGCCGATACAAAGAATATTTTTGGAAAAAATTTTACACAGCCTTTTTTACATTAAAAATTTAGACAATTTTAAAATTTGGCCTGGACCAGGGTTGACCCTCCCCTAACTCCGCCCCTGCATGGAACTTCAATATATTCCACTGCGCCTTCACCCCATTTGTAGTACCACTAGTTTTTTGGAAGGTAGAACATTATCTCTATAATGAGTGATTAGTGATTACTTCCTTTTGTTCATTAATACTTGTTAATCATTAATGCTTATTTTTGTGATTAGTGCATGATTACTTCCTCCGTTCTTTTTTAATTGCAACGGTCCACTTTGCACGTTTGTCAACGCACAAGTTTGACCATTAATATCTTCTATTACTTATTAGTAAAAAAAATAAAAAATTCATATTTTGAAATTTAAAAATGAGGGTAACTTAAAAATATTTTTTAAAAACTTAATGTATAATACATCATTAAATAAAATATAGTCAAAGTAGACTATGTGAATAATACAAAAAGTCTAATGTTGCAATTAAAAGAGAACGGGGATAATATATATTTAATTATGTATTTATAAGTATAATGAAACATTTCTATCAACTTAATTACTTCTAGTGTATAGTACTTCCCGAGTTCGAACTAAATTATAATACGTACTACATTTCTCTCTGTTTAAACTTTCATTGAAAATGACACAATTACTTAGACATGCAATAATTAATTGGAGTATATTTTCAGAAGTAATTTTAATGGGTATATAACATAGTTAGGCTATTGATGTTAAATGTAATGTTATATGTATAAGCTAGGACGTCTATAAAAGAAAATGAAAAACTTAAGTTAAAACATTATCTAAAGAAATGAGAATACAATTTTCTATTTGTTTTCTCAAAATCGACTCTCTTAGCTTTTTAATATATTTTTATTTATGTTATTGATCTCTTATGTAAATAGTTCCAATTTTATATGCTAAATTAGTGGTATATTTAGGGATATTGGGATTAGGGAGTATTGTTGATACTCTTGTACGTCAAGTTGTCTTGTACTGTGGTGACTGGTGACAACCTTAATTCCAACCATGAAAGGATCCAAACTTCATATTACACCATTACATGCATGACATGCTTTAACTTTAACTATCAGACATTTACTTTAACAAATACTCGTTCAATAACTCACTTTATGGTTATGAGTAAGATTTCTATTAAAAATTACGTAGTACTACTTAAATATTTTATATTACGCGTTATATCGTTGATAGTCAAAATAAGTAAAGTTTGAAAAGGCAATTCTAGACTTTTGATACAAGGCTCATTTGACAACACTAAAATTGACTTCTGAATTCACTGCAATAGATGAAATAATTCTACCTGAATTGATCGAATCAATTGAATTATGAAAAAATATTTCAAATATATTTTAGTAATAAATAAAGAAATAACTATATGAAAATGTCTATAACTTCAGTCAATTCATCTTGAAGAATACTTGTTTTCATTAAACGAGAAATCAAAAGTCATCTATTTAATTAAGTTACAAAGTTGGTTCATAGGCCCATAAATTGAAAATATTATTTACGTACCAAAAAAGCTCATATTAATTCTTTATTTTATACGGAGTATATTACGGAGTATATATCAAGGAAACTTTACTTCATCATATATATTAATATATACTACGAAACGTACGATGGAGTACTATTTAAGATAATTCCAAACGTTTAGAATAGGGAGACAGCTTTAACATTACCAAACACTCTTAAACATCCTGCCTAGCTCTTCAAAGAAAATTATTTAGAGGAAAAGATTTGAATGGTAATATGTTTTCGAAGAAATTAAAAAATTGAAAATTTCGCACATGCAATATACGGAGTATAATTCCGGCATGCATATATGGATGAAGGGCAACCTCGTACAGGTGAATCGGGCCGGGCTGGGCCGAGGGTGCACAGCTGCTGAACTAAATTGGAATGGGAGAGGGGACAACTCCCTCTCGCCTACCACGTGAAAGGCACGCCGTCGTTGACCCACACTGTATTCCTCTGATTTGACTATCAACCTTTGCTCCTTAATTGGTCCATTTTGCTTTGCTTGGAGGACGTTTGTTCCTTTTCTTCTGTGGGGCCCCCTCCCCCTTCATCCACCAAATCAATTTCCTCTCCCATATCTATATCTATTTTCTCGTTTTTTCAGATTGTTTTTTGAGCAAATTGCAACAATCA